GCCAGCGCGGGCCCCGCCGACGCCGACACGGCCGGACTGAACCCGCTGCCCTGCTCGCTGCCACCTAGGAAGAAACCAGATTGGAAGTGAGAAAAAAAGTTTCACTTTCTGCCCTCCGATGTTGAAAACTGCATGGAAGTTCATGGGCAGCTGAAGTTTCAGACTCAAAAATTAAATATGCACTAGAGCATTGGGGGGGGATTTTAACAAGCTCTTAGCACTTAGCGAAGTGTCCTGCTTCTATACTCTGCAGCTGCCAGAGGCTCTTGCCTCTGGTCTCCCTGGAAAATAACCCAGCACCACCATCCCCTTCAACAAGTAGATTTAACAAGACACATAACCCCAAATAATCCATTTCAGAACAAAGCTCCACATCATAACCCAACACAAGTATTTATAAGCAATTTGAGAAGAAAAAAGTTACAGAATAACTGGATTTTTTTTTTTCTCCTTAACTTAAAATCAACAAAATACAAAGTATCGCTGCTACTAGTTTATGAAAAACTAAAGCCAAATCTTTTTGTGGCAGAGAGGTAGGAGACCTACTCTGGTAGCTCTCTGCAGCAACTGCAGCTCTCCATTCTAAAGCATGTACCATAGGTTTTAGGCCAAACATAAAACAGTTTATCTATTTTCATCACTGCAGTAATTATTAGGTATTTTCACCTAGAATTATTCAGCTCAATAGGAAGTTCCAACAAGCCATCTTTCTGATGATGTCCTTTTGGACTGACTTGAGTCTTAAAATTTACACAGTAAGGGGACACTGATGTGAAATTCTACCAATAACTTAATAAAAAAGTATGTTTTGAAATAGTTACTGTCTGACAAGCCCAGCCATGCTTGTGGGGAGTACACACATGCAGAATAAGCAGGTATACACCAGTAAAGCACAATACCTTGTCCTGCACTGAAGATATTATCTAAATTGGCAAGAGCTGCGTATTTGTCAGCTGGCTGGAGGTTCGGTTTATTCGCTGCAGCTTTACTGGCTGCAGTGGCCGCTGCGTTGCTCTGAGAAGCATTAAAGGCTCCAAAGTCAGCACTGGAGGATTTGGGGAAGTTATCAAAGTGAGCAAAGTTAGCATTGGCAGATCCAGCACTTCCACCTGTAACAAAAATAAGTTAAACAGGATCAACATTCCAAGGCCAGAGCAAGGCTCTCCAGCTGTCACTGATGTCCCAATAACCCCACCTCTGTGTGGTCACATGAGGCAGTGTGTCCCCCCAGCCCACCCCACATGTTTAAGACCCTTTCCCATTGCCTTTAAAGTTACAATAGGTCATAAAAAAAAAGAGTGGTTTTTTTTTTCCCCATATTTTTCAATCTGCAAATGAAGGACAAAAACTTCAACAGCTTAAATCAGTCATAATTTGAAAAACTAAGTTATTTATGAGCTGTTAAAGTAATTGCAACAGTAATATTTCTCTAGGGAAAAGAGTATTTGTCTCAATATTTAATACTCGAACTACAGAAGCTTCATTTTTCCTGTCATTTGTGTCTAATGAACAGCTACTATTTGCATTTACTAAATGGTACAATGTTAAACCATTTCAGATGTCAGTCATCATTTTAAGCAAAAACCAGTGCCTAGAAGTCCAAAACCAGTATGATTTCATGCCAAGGTTTACAAAGATAATTCAGTTCCCAGATTTTTAGACTACATCCAATTAGCAAAGAGTTGAGGGGGAGATACAACACAGCTCTTTTTATACCAAGTCTCCACTGATATCAGAGATACATAAATCAATTACTTAAAATAATCTGACTTGGGTCCACGCAACTGAACTTCAGTTCAGATATGAAACCACAAGCTTCCACCTCTTCAGAGTCCAGACTGAATTTAACCTAGGCAGGCCACGTACTTAAATTCAAATGAGTTGTTCCATGAAGTGTATCCCTTTTTGTAACAGTTGTTTGAGGATTCCACTCATACTACAGAACACAGCACTTTCCAATGCACCGTGGGCAAGCTAACACACACGCCACAGCAGGACTGACAGTGCTAGACTACAATGGCACACAATGAAGCAAGCTGAGTTTTCCACTGCGTGGAACTTACTGTGTACAGCCTGGAGAGGAAAAGCTGAAGTAAATTCACCCAAACTGCAGCTAGATGAAAGCGTTCTGAACGCTGGACAGCCAGAAATTGTGTGTGGGTTAAAGTTAACATAAGAAGGAAGAAAGAAAATTTGAAAAGAAGTTTAAAACGACACCACACTCAAAAGAAAAAAAAAAAGGAAAAGAAAGTCAGTCAGCCAAAGATCTAGACAAACAGCAAGTGTAAGCTCAAGCAGAAGTTCTAAAGCATGATCAAATCAAAGGAAAGCAAAATAAATCTTAGCAACAGGCTCTACACATGAAGCCAAACACTGAAGTGCGTGCCTGTTATACCTACAGATAGACACATGCTTTTTTGATACTGCACCATGCTTTTGGGCCTACTGAAATGCTTCTCTTACAAGATAGAGTCAATTCAATATTCATCAAAAGCAGCATAGACTACTCTTCTCATATTTATTTCAGGTGTAGAGCTAAAGAACACGCAGTGCCATAAACCAGACTTCCGAGTAGCATTAGGAAGAAAATAAAAGGAAAGAAAATCAACACCAGACAGAAGGAATTAATTTTGAGTTTCCCCAGAGCTTCAGATGCCTTGGTTGCATTAAATCAGGCAGATGCAAGAAATAAACTCAGCTTAAGTACCTTCCAACATGAGGGTAAGGATTATTTCAGTTAAGTATTAATCAAAAGTGCTAGGAGTTCTACCTGTATTTTGGGGCTGAAAAGAAGACTGACTTGCTGTGGGGAAACCTCCAAAATTACTCGAGCCACTAGACTGTCCAAACGCATCAAAGTTTGCAAAACCTGCGTTTGCAGAGTTCTGCGCTGTGAATTGCAAAGGAACAAAACACGTTAATGGATATGGGAAATCAACACAAAAACAGATGTATTAACTGAATCCATGGTCATGACGGCCTCCACAGGTCATGTCCTACCTTCCCATTTCTTTTCACAGGGAAAAATTATACACAATATTCTACGGCCGCAAGTTGTCCTTGAACAAGCTTTCACAAGCGACCTTTGCAGAGCTGTACCAGTTCACTCTACTTCTCTCCTCCTCACACAGGCTGCCACTCCCAACTGCACGACCTGGCCAAGTCCAGCTCCGCTCAACACCAGAGCCTCTGCAGCAGTGGTGGCTCCAGGAAAGAGCCAGAAGGCACAGAATACCTGAGGGATGCCTGCAGATCCCAAACCAGGTAGCCTCCTAAATGCTAGCTTCCAAAATCATAATTTGTGGACTAACCGACCATTTCTTAGGGAATACATATTAGCAAGTATTCTTGTAACATGCTGACAATTTGAATTCCTCATATACCTACAAAGTGCTTCTTCCTTGGGTGAATTTAGTTGGGCACCACAGAATAGCTTGGGCTAGGTTTATAAATTCATTTCATGGGAAAAAGTCAGTTTTTCAAAAACTAAATCTGAATACAGGAATAGGGAAAATCAATACCAATGTCAAGAAGATAGCAATTCATTCAGTGTATCCACAAAATAAAATCCAAGGAAATTTCAAAGAGAATCTCAGTTTTCGCCTTCCTTTCATGCCATACTATAGGAGAAAATACAAGTTAACACCTGTCTGGTTTCAAACATCTGGATATTCAAGCATTAACAGAT